CCCCCCCCCCCCCCCGCCTGAGTTTGTAGCGCTTTTTTAGGAGAACGATGAAGTAGGAGTGGGAATTGCTGTTTCCCACCCTGAAGCACTTTGTATCTATAATTAAGCTACTATAGGAATCCATGTAGCTAAGTGAGCACACTGTGTAAGGAAAAAGCTAACGGCTGCTTTTCTAAAAGCTCTGTTTTGTGCATGTGTGTTTGTGTGTGCTAGGAAAATTCAAACAAGAACCTACTGAAGTGTGGTTTTTTTAAAACAATATTCCTGGAGTGAGAAGAAGTAGATTAGATAATAGTCTCACAGCAGCTTGTTAGTGAGAGATAGGAAAACTCTTTGTCACCGGACAACTTGACAGTTCTTTGCTTTTGCATCCAGTTCTGGGCTCTTAGCAAGACAGTTAGAACCTTTTTTATGAAGGGAATTTGAAGGTTGCGTTATTAATTTCACAATTAGAAGGGAACCCATGGATTGTAAGTTTTTGTTTTTGTGTTTGTTATTTGAGACGGGGTTTGACAATGTAGTTCAGGCTGTCCTTGACCTCACTAGGTAGCCCAGGCTGGCCATGAACTCCTAGCGATCCTCCCGCCTCAGCCTCCCAAGTCTCGGGATTACAGGCATGCACCACCACACCGGGCTGTAAGGTTTTAACTAGACTGAGCATCTTTCTTACCGAGTTCGGTGTGTGGTGTAGCTGCAGTATTTATGGCATGCAGTATAAATCTATACAGCTGAATTTTCTGGTGACCTGAGAGTGTAATTCAGTTATGTCCGTTCATTTGATTTTAGGGACAGTTCAGATTCATTTTGAGGGGTGGGTCAGTCATTCATTTACATACCCAAATAATACCAGATTTGGTTATCAATATATATTTGTTTAGGCCTTGCACTGTGGCATGGAGATAGTCTTTCATTTCCCCTTCTTTACCCAGGACCCCTTGGTGTGAATGGAGTATTTGGTCTGTATTTGTTTGTCTGCTTTGACTAATTTTGAAAATAGTTAACAAAGAAAATAACTGGTGTGAAAGCAAGTTCTATGCAGGCTGATCATAGAACACCGATTCATTTTAACATTAAGGAATTTATTCAAAGGAGAAATTTTAGAATAAATATATTTGAAACTAGTTTTTAAGCTCCTGAAGACTTAGTGGCTTTTATGTGTCAGTCTCTTTCCTTGAGCCTTTTTTAACTTACTTGCATTTACTGAAGACCAGGTTTTTTTTGTTGTTGCTGTTTTGTTTTGTTTTTAGACAAGGTCTCATTACGTAGTTGAGACTGACCTGGAACTCACTTTGTAGCCCAAACTGGTCTCAACTCACAGTGATCCTCCTGCTTCAGCCTCCCAAGTGCTGGGATTACAGGAGTGCGCCACCACTCCGTAGACCAGGAATAAAGCACTGAATAAATATTAGTTTGCATAACAATCCTATGGAGATAGATACTGTTGTTTTGTGTATTTTACAGGTGATGAAACTGAAACACAGGAAAATAGTAACTTGCCTGAGGTTGCACTAACTAAAGGACTCATTTAAACTCTGGCAGTCTGGTTCTAAAACATTCTTCCTGGCTGTTGTACTGTAAGCCTCAGCTATACACTGTAGCTCCTTTCAAGTTTGTGTTTAAAGTTTCAAAATATTTTTACCTATTGCTTACTGTCCTATAAATATGGTGGAGGGGTACTGGGATGGACCCAAGGCCTTGCATATACTTTATTGCTGAGCTGGATCCCAGTCAGATCCATTTTTAGTATGACTTTTTAATTCATTGGTTTGCAGTGGGTGAGGCAGAAGGAAAGTTGGACTAGTTGGTCTTTGGGACCCATTCTAACGTACATCTATGTTAATTCTGTATTGAAAGTATAGTATGTGTCAGCGAAATATGCTTCATTGCTTTCCTTGTAATGAAGCAGTGACATTCACTTAGCTCACCCTTAAAAACATTTTTAAAGTCGGGTGTGGTGGCGCACACCTATAATCCCAGCACTCAGGCTGAGGCAGGAGGATCACTATGAGTTCAAGACCAGCCTGGGCTACATAGTGACCTCAAGGTCACTCTCAACTACATAGTGAGACCCTGTGTCAAAAAACTGGGGGGAAAAATATTTTTGTGAACTGTTTATCTTGAAAACTCCCATTCATACACAGATTTAATGAGTTATCTGTGTCTCCAAAGCATAAATTGAATGCTTCCCAAATAATTTATTAAAGCATGTGAAAGGTGAAGTTAAAATAACTCTGGTGATTGGTAGTTGGTCATTCTGTGATTTTGAGGTGGTTCCATAACTATTTTCACTGTGCCAGTTGCCCCAAGCCATAAGTCCTTAGAAGGCTAACATTTGAAACAAATGAACAGTTACTGCTAATTGTCCCAATATTGTCTGTCCTAATTCAGCTTTGTTCCCAAATCTTGACATAAGTGTAAGTTTTTATATGTGGAGTTATATGCAGCCTGTATTGTTAGTGGACACTAGCCAGTAGGACCAACATTTCCTTTTTTTAACAGGGATCATTTTTCTAGAGCTTTAGAAGAAAGTGGTTAAGGATGAACCTATTTCATCTGCCTGTGCATAGGCCCATTGTATGTAATTCAGTCTTCTGTATGGGAGATCAGGCTTTTCCCCCCAGCAGTGGGATGGAACCCAGGGCATTACAGTACTCTTAGAAGTGGTCGACCACTGAGCTGCACCCCCAGACCAAAACAGACCAGTCTCTCGCTCTCACTCTTCTCTATTGATGCTGAATGTAGAATGAGACCCTGGCTGGGCATGATAGGCAAGCTCTCTTCTGCTGAGCTCCATGGCCCTCACCATGGACTATGAGTCTTACTTCCTTCGAGAATTCCACTGAGGAAGCTTAAGGTTCGCCATTGCATAGCCCTGTACGCGAGAAGCGGAGGATTGTTGCAGTTGGCATGCAGCATTTCTGTCTAGAACCAAGTCATTCCTAGAAATACTCATCAGGCTGCAGTAGAAACTGAGATCACTCGTGGGGATGACTTTTAGCAGAAACTGGGCGTTCTGGTGCAGACCCTGACTGAGAGCATGAGGAGTTTTTTTCCTTCTCTGTGGGTTTTTAGGAATTTGAATTGTAGCTACTAAGACTTTGTAAGTTATAGAAAGCATTAGAAAAGACAGGTTCAAAAAACAGATTTTTCTTCAATTGCATTATTTTTGTAACTGCACATGAAATAATGGTACACCTTCTGTTTGTACTCTGAGGTACTGTAGATGTAACTAAGCAAAAGCAAAACGTTTGAAGAGCTATAAGTCTATAATAGTAAAAAAACAACTTTAGTCCTATGAGTATAGCTTTTCTATGTTATTCTAGATACATCATTTCATTGGCTCAGCAAATACTGAGTACCTGCTAGAAGTTAGATTTTTTGAGACAGGGTCTTACCATGTAACCCAGCCTGGCCTCAAACTCACAGTGATCCTCCTGCCTCAGTCTCCTGAGTACTGGGATTATAGGTGTGTGCCACCACTCCCAGCTAGGTTAGATAATCTTGTAGGCCCTTGGGGTAGAGTAATGAAGTGAAGATAAAAATTCTTTTCTCAAAGTGCTTATGTTATGATGGAGACCTCAGGGATTATAGCAGGTGGTGGTGCTTACTTAGAAAAATAGTTAAACACAGAAAGGAAATATGTGTGCTTTGTGTGTTACAACTAAAGTGGGATCCAGAAAACTTGCCTGAGAAAGTAACATTTGAGCAAGAGCTAAAGGAGACAAAAGGAACCAGAATTCCTGGATCTGGGGACAGCAGCTGCTGAAAAGAGAAAGTGAAGGTGCAGGGCCCTGGGGCAAGGAGAGTGCTGCAGCCACACATGTGAGAGTGTGTGTGTGTGTGTGTGTGTGTGTGTGTGTGGCGTGGCAGCCTGGGTGTTCAGCAGCAAGTGTGGGCCCCAGTCAAGGGTTTCAGCTTCTCCTCACTGAAGTAGGGATCAATAATAATAAATTTCACAGAGACTGGTGACATTTTTAAAGTGTCTTCTGTCCATCTGTCCAGTGGAGGTGCTTCGGGCTGATGTGGAGTGTATTGCCAGCCTTTTTACAGCTTTCATGTATATGTGACCTTGGGTGAGTCCCTTAAACCTCCTAGAACCTTCATCTCTGTCCAGCGATGAGGCATTTCTGGGGCACTTAGTGTGGCAGCCATTCACAGTGTGAATTTTCACAACAAACCCATGATTTATCTGTACTGTTAATTCCCCAGCTTTTACAGTTGAGAGAAGCAAGGCAGAGAGAAGCAGCTTGCTTGCCTGAGGTTACAGGAGCTGCCTCATTGGAGGCAGCATTTTGAGCCAGGTAGTTTGTCTCCAGAATCCATATTCTATGGCAGCTCTCCTTACAGTACCACCCTCAGTAATGCTGTCGGCTGCACAGTGCCCATGAGCAAAGGCAGTTACCCGGGTCTGTATGGTGGCAGCTTACCTTTGGGGCACTCAGTTCACTGTTGTAAGCGTCCAGCATCTGTTGACCTGTTCAGGCTTCAAGTGGCCTCCCTGGTAGGTGCTCTTGTTTTCTCCGTCCTGTGTATGAGGTCACCTAGGATCCAGAGATCTTGAACTTGCCTGCCCCTGACAGCCAAGGTTTTACCCCTGGCAGTTTGGAGACTGTTTAACCATTGAAGTATACTTAATTTTGAGGGCACTCAGAGAGTCTGTAGGAGGTAGCTTTGACTTCTACATTAATGACTGGAATTTTGTGCTTTGGGCTCTAGATTTTATATACCTAAAAATCATTCCCAGTACTTTAAAAAGTTCTCCATAATTTAAATTAACCTAATCTCTCCCCACCCCTAAGTCAGGGGTCAGTGGAAAAAAAGACGTATACCCAATCTTCTGAATTACAGGATGAGGATTTCCAGGAAGGAGATGTAGTTGCTTGTATACCCAGTGTTGGGAGCAGTTTGCAGTGTCTGGATCTTCTGCTTAAATCTGTTTGGTTCTGTTTCCCTCCGCAGTACAGTGATCGGGTTGTTGGTTTGTTTCGTTTTATGAAGTTACTGCTCTCTCTTTATATTCCACTGGAGTGGGCCTAGTCCAAATCCTGATTCTCACAGAGGGCAGTTTCCTCTGCTCCTCTCTTCAGTACTTCGTCCTTTCTCATACTCCATGCTAGCAGTGGAGATTAACAAAAATCAAACAGTTTTGTGTTTGATGCCATGTATGGCTATGTGTTGTCTGCTCCTTCTCTTCCCTCACCCCATTTTCAGCTAATAACTTGTCAGTCAGGACTCCTTTCTCTTAATATTCCACACACGTGCGTGTGTGCGTGCTCCCTGTTTACTGAGGACAGACCTGGCTGAAGAGCTAAACACTGTGCCTCTGCCCCTACCATAATCCTCAGAGCTGGTGGTGCATGATAGAAAGCCCAGCCAGTGGTCAGACCCTGTAGTTCTGGGCCTCTGCGACTCCGGGGAGCCTTTAGTTGTGTCCCAGCCACTCACTCCCACAGTCACACACTTGTCATCTCTTGAAATTGGCTCACTTGGAATCTTAATCTCTTAGAAAAGTTTTTCCCACAAGTTTGGTGCCTTGGCCACACTAATATATTTATTTTGCTGTATAGCCTGATCTTTGCCACCTGCTTTCTAGCTCAGAAATCCCCCTTTTTTCCTTTCAGAAATCTTTGCTCATTCTTTGGGTTAATGTTACTCAGTTTTTATTTTTTAATACACGTTTCTTCGCATAAACTTCTCTCCCCCAGCATCCCTGCTTAACCGGTAGGTAGGTTTTTCTGTGAGCTACAAGATACCTTCCCTAACCACTCAAGATGAGTTGTGATGACCTTTGTCTATTCCTGTCTTTGTTGTGTTCTTCTCCAGTGTGTTATGATTGTTGTGTGACTTTCTTTTCTACTAGTCTATCATTTCCTTGAAGGAGATAGATACTGATCATGTGTACATTGTTTTCCTGCCACTTGGCTTATTGCTTACAGTGGTAAGTGATTTTAAAAATATATTCAGAAATTGATGAGCAGGTTCATGAATTCTTAATTCCCAAGGAAGTATTTGTCATAGATAGTAGAAGTATACAGATTCATTATTTGAAGCCCTGACACAATGAACTGTATCTTCCTCCAAAAATAGTTTGAAGACCAGAGTCCACTTTAAAATTTGGTTGTGATCTCATTTTAGGTGTGATGCTGTGTTACAGGGTGACTTTAAAGGGGAAAGTTAGTGCACTGTATTGCTAAACTATGATATTTGGTAGGTTTGATATGTTAAATGTATTTTACACTTAAAATATTTTCAGTTTACAGTTGTGGGCTTACCGGAACATAACTCCATCATAAGTCAAGGAGTATCTGTAATGATCTTGAACTTGTATTTAACCCGGGATGACTATACACTACAGGCTGACTAAATTTAGATCATTAAACTCCAACTCAACGTTATCTAAGGAATTAAGCATAGACTCTCCCTTAGTCTGGTTTTATTTTTGCATAGCACTTTTTAATGTGAACATATTTTAGGGATCAAGTTTTTTATTTATAATTCAGAAGAATTAAATAATTTGGTGAACAATATTGGGTTGAACCATACATAAGAAAGTGCTGGTATTAGACTGTTGTTGACATACAAGTATCCTTCCTCATGATTAGTTTAAAGTCTTAATCCTTGTGGGTTTTCAGCATCGTCAGCCTCAGCTCCCAGACCACATCAATTACTTATTTTGGATACAGCCCAATATTGGCTCTACAGACTTTGAAATGGGTGGATGATTAGTCAGAGATGCTCAAAACAAGTGACCTGCTACGTTTCTTCAAATGTTAAGTTCTCTGAATATCAAATGAAAAAGGAGATTTGGCCCCCAGTTTATGTCGCTATTAATGTTTTATGAAAAAAAAGTCTTAAATATGTCAAAGTGCAGGTTTAAAAAATCAGATTACTGAGTGACTTCTGTAAATCAATATTAAGATTTTACTATGCCTGGTTTACAGTCCCTGTAAGTAATTTTTTAAACTTACCCCATAGTTTTTCTTCTAATGCTTTTGGTTTACAAGTTCAACCATTAGAAACAAATTGAAGTTATGTCACCACTCACTTGTAAGTTCTTGCTACACACCTTTTTTGAAATAAAGTAACTGGAGGTGTTCTGAAAAATTTTTAGTGACTGGCCTAATGTATTGCAGGCATTGAAATGGATTTTATCATTACTGTTCATTTTGTTGTGACTTAAACTGGATAAATACTGTGAGTTTAAAATGTGTTTGTATACATTTATAGGATGGAAGATGCTGATAATTCTGAAAAGAGTGTAAATGAAGAAAATGGAGAAGTATCAGAAGACCAATCCCAAAATAAACATAGCCGTCACAAAAAAAAGAAACATAAACACAGAAGTAAACACAAGAAACATAAACATTCCTCAGAAGAAGACAAGGATAAAAAACATAAACATAAGCATAAACATAAGAAACACAAAAGAAAAGAAATGATTGATGCTTCTGACAAAGAAGGTATGTCTCCAGCAAAAAGAGCTAAACTTGATGATTTAGCTTTGCTAGAAGACTTGGAGAAGCAGAGGGCCTTGATTAAAGCGGAACTTGATAACGAGCTCATGGAAGGAAAGGTCCAGTCTGGGATGGGCCTCATTTTACAAGGTTATGAGTCTGGCTCTGAAGAAGAAGGGGAGATTCATGAAAAAGCAAGAAATGGAAATAGGTCCAGTACCAGATCCTCAAGTACAAAGGGGAAACTCGAAGTTGTGGACAATAAAAATAGTACAAAAAAACGAAGTAAAAGCAGATCCAAAGAACGGACTAGACATAGGTCGGATAAAAAGAAAAGTAAGGGAGGTACTGAAATAGTTAAAGAGAAAACAACGAGGAGCAAGTCAAAGGAGAGGAAGAAGTCCAAAAGTCCATCCAAAAGAAGTAAGTCCCAAGACCAAGCAAGAAAATCAAAGTCCCCTGTCCTTAGGAGGCGGTCTCAGGAGAAAATTGGCAAGGCCAGATCTCCTACTGATGAGAAAGTTAAAATTGAAGATAAAAGTAAGACAAAAGATAGGAAAAAATCCCCAATTATAAATGAAAGTAGAAGTCGAGATCGAGGTAAAAAATCTAGATCCCCAATTGACTTACAAGGTAAATCCAAAGACAGAAGGTCACGGTCCAAAGAGAGAAAATCCAAAAGGTCTGAAGTTGATAAGGAAAAGAAGCCTATTAAGTCTCCCTCTAAGGATGCTTCCTCTGGGAAAGAAAATAGGTCACCCAGTAGAAGACCTGGTCGTAGTCCTAAGAGAAGGAGTCTGTCTCCTAAACAACGAGATAAGTCAAGGAGAAGTAGGTCTCCACTGTTGAACGATAGAAGATCTAAGCAGAGCAAATCACCTTCTCGAACTCTCTCTCCGGGTAGAAGAGCCAAGAGCCGATCTTTAGACAGAAAACGTAGGGAGCCAGAGAGAAGACGACTTTCTTCTCCAAGGTAACATGTTTACAAAATATGAATAATTTTTACTGATGCACTGTTTTTTCTTTTTTTATTGTTACATTTTAGGTATTCAGTACAGTTACATTCATTGTTGGGATCTTGTACTTTTACATGACAGGTCTTGGTTCTCATTTTTTCCCCTAGTCTCTGCCCTCCCTTCACCCCCTTCTCTCCTCCCCATTTACAAACACTTTATTTCCATTTTCTCATATTTTTTTCTTTTCCCTTATTACCTTTCCCCTACCCTTCACACTTTCCCTACATCATTAGCCCTTTTCTTCCTATTTCACATTGTCAGTTATATCATTAGGATCTTTTTTTTTTTTTGTACTGGGGATTGAACTCGGGTCCTTGTGCTTGCAAGGCAGGCCACCAACCGCTGAGCTAAATCCCCGGCTCATTAGGATCTTATTGATATACTGTATTTTAAAGAGAAAAGTAGAATTTGAGAACAACTAAAATTGAAGTTGTGAGTTCAATAATTTCAAATATAATCCATTATGTAAACACACTTATGAGTGTTTTACACATATTGCGCTTAACGACAGTTATTTTTCCTTTCAAGTTCTTGATTTAATTTGGTAGATCGCTCCTTTAAATCCAAGTAATTGAACACTTTCACTACAGCACCATACGTCACGACTGTCCATGGATGGCTTCTACCACCAGCAGTAGTCCACACGAACCTGTTAACTGATAGGTCTTAATGGTGGACCACCTTACACCTCACTCAGATGATGTATGTGATTTACCTAGGATCAAAGAACTAAGTTTTTTTAGCGGGTAGAAGGGGGATTGTTTAGAGTCAAGTCATTTTAAACCACTTTATAGAAATTGATGTAATAATATCTTGTTTATTCAGTAATTGTGTATTTTGGAATTACTGGCCAAGTTTTCCTTATTAAAAGAATGTTGGCTTGTAAAATGTTATAAATTCATAGTCATGCACTGTGTACATGTATTTAAATGTATACATTTTCATTTTATACTTGTGTGCACATGTATATAAATGTGTATTTTCATTTTATACTTGTAAATTGACTTTGAGATTTTAGTCATCACATTCTCAGATATTGCAAGACTGTTTTCAAAGTGCTCTAAAGAGATACTTTCTTTTACTATACTAAATGGCATTTGAATGAAATAGCCCCTTTTCCTTTAGCTCTCTATTGAAGCAATTGTTGGTTTAATGATTCTTGAAAAAGTGTTTTGATCCTTGTAATCTTTCACTTTGAAGACATTTTGAGCTTATTAAATACTGGACCTGAGTATTTGAAACAAAAAAGTTTTCTAATTACAGAAGTGTATACTAATAAAAACAAGTCTACATGCTGCAGAAGTAAATTTTCTGTTTCTCCATCCAAGTGTAACAGCAAAGAATATTTCATACATGTACCATAGTTAATCATTTGTTGAAACTGAATGAAAATTTAGATCCATTCCCAGGTTTTCAGTATTGTACACAAAGATGTCTGTTGTTTATGCATGCGGTTCCTCTGTAGAATAGTTTTACAGAACCAGATCTGCAAACAGCCCTGGTATGTATGTCACATTTTAGAAAATTACTACCAGATTTCCTTCCAGGAAAGATAGATCACCTTGTGCTTCCGACACTACGTAAGCTATTCTTTTCACAGAACTCTGATTAAGCAGGATCGGTGTGATCCCATTTGGCCACTCTAAAAAAACAAAAAAATAACTTCTAAGCCAAATATTTTAGATAACTAATGAGTTTAAGCATTTTTGTTTTTGTTGCATTTAAGCAAATAATACTTCATTCTTCCCAAGTCCACTCTTACTTTATCCTGTGTGTTTACACGTTTTAACCAGTCTTTGAGAGATGTGTCTTTGTACCCAGATTGTGTGACCACTACAGATCTGAGCCAAAGTCTGCCTGGCTCATCTTGCTGGATCTACAACCGTCTTTGAGGTTTTGTGCACCATTTCCAAACGTGAAGGGCAGCTCTTATTTTTATCAGTAGGGAAAGTGTTACAATTTTTGTTATTACACACAGAACTATTTACAGGGTGTCCTAACTGTTCAGATTGAATTTTCATATTATTCAGATCTGAAACTCCATTAAGAAATGTTGAAAACCTATTTTTAAAAATTAAGTTACGGAAAAGCCTGTGCTTACGGTAATACAGATGGTACATTAAGAGAGTAAAACTCATTGGAAGGGCTTTGTGAGACTTGAAAAGTTGATTTTGAATAGGCTGAGCCTAGTTCCTCAGTTCATACATTAATGTTGATTTTTATAAGATACCATTACGTTTAATTTACTTGAAGAATAAAATTCTCAACTGCAGATATATCAAGATACAGAAAAAAATGTGATTCTGAGGCAATAGAATATTACTGGGCCACTTTGGCTTCAAATCAGTGGCTTTATCAACACCTTTTAATACCTCAAACTGTGAGGCTGAGGAAACAAACTGATCACATGATCACATGCCTACTGTAGCACAGAATGTCTCTGGTCATCTGAGTTTGAATTTTGATATGAAATACACTAACCCCAGTGTTTACTCTTCTGTACACATTGAATAGATGGATCGCATGTGATTTTCCTGTTCACTTGCTTTGCTCCAGGACACGCCCTCGAGATGACCTCCTCAGCAGGCGGGAGCGGTCCAAGGACACCAGCCCCATCAACAGGTGGTCTCCAACTAGAAGAAGAAGTCGGTCTCCCATCCGAAGGCGGTCTCGCTCTCCAATCAGGCGCAGCCGGTCTCCCCGGAGGAGAAGCAGGTCTCCTCGGAGAAGGTAGAGACCTGTGCACACCCCTGCCTCAGGCTCCCTGACCCCTCAGTGTTGTTCCCCTGAGCTGTGATACTTCACACAGTCTGTTCACATTTACACAGATGTCTCCTCGGGAAGAACTCAGGCTTGTAAAAATAGGATTTTCTTTTTACGTTTTTGGAGATAAATACAAAGTGCTTTTTTTTGTCTTAACTAGCAAGTTTTTCTAAGGTAGTAAACATGTGGCCTGATTTGTTCTCATTCTGTGACTGTAGTTATTCATAATTGCTTCTTCCTGGAGAATCTCTGGTGAAAACCTGTTTGTCTAGAGCCTGTGTAGTTCCTTGGTCATTCAGAAGGGTTGACCCTTCACCCATTTTTCTCATCTGCCACGTGCGTCCTGAGTGAGCGTGATCGTAACTGCGTGTGTTTTCCACGTAGTGGGGCAAGGGCTGTGCCTTCCTCCCGCTCCTGGGCCGCTGGCCCTGTTCTCCCGACACGAGACTCTGTTGCTTCCCTCTGCAGCCCCCTTGCTGCTCCCTCACTGCTGTTGTGTTGTCATTCTGCCTTCTGTGCTCAGTGACATTCTTTGGTGATCTGCTCTTTTGGTAACTAACGTATCTTCAGTAGCTTCCTGAAGAAATCAAATGGAAAGCATATTTTTTTGGAACCTTATTCTTCAAAAAAAAAAAAAACGCCTTTTATTTTTATTGCTGATCTGGCAAGGAATCGGTTTCTAGATTCTTTCTTGAAAATTTTTAATATGTTCCATTGATTTCTAGTTTTCACTTTGCCGTGAGTGTGCTATTCTGACTCCTGGGCATCTTTAAAGGACTGGCTTTTTTTTCTTCCTTTTGTCTTCTTATTTATAATAATAAATGTCCTGTGCTTGGAAACTTCATTATAATGTGCCTTGGTGTGTGAGGATCTCCTGCCTCTCCCCTGCCCCTTGCCCTCCTAGATGCTGTTTTATAACAGGATCTTGGCTTTCTGCTCAGGGAAGTTTGGTCTCTTTTTGTTTTCTTCCTTATTATCTCCTGTTTTTTCAAATTGGACCTTCAATCTTGTAATTTTTTTCCTAATCTTTTCTGTTTGTCATTTTGTTCTACTTTTAGATTTTCTCATTCTACCTTCTTAACGTTCTATTGATTTTTTTTTTTAATTTTTTAAAATTGTTTTTACTTTTCAGAGAATACCAAGTTTATTTTGTAAGGCTTTTATTTTTTATAGTTTTCTTCTCTGCTTCGTTTCTTTCTAGGATTCTTTTGCTACTTGTTTACCTTTTCCTTTGGAAACTTTTCCTCAGAAAGCTGGCACTTGATTATTGCCTGCTCTGATTGACTAGGCATGGAGAAAGCTAATTGGAAACTGTCTTCCGTTCTGTAAGTGTAATATAAAACATGTGAGCTCACAGCTCTCACTTGAGAGTAATTAGGAAGAGACTAGCCTATCAGTGGCTGCAGCTCTTCTCTCGGGCTATAAGTTTTTCAGAATTCTCTGGCTAGAGTCTGCATGTACTTACCAGTGGTATTGGGCTGCCTCTGGCTGTTGCTTGTGCACCTGTGCAACTCTTTTCCAGGCAGGTCTTTGGCTGGAATTGTTGGCCCAGACAGCTGGGGTCAGCTGGAGCCCTGACTGGACCTGCCTGCAGCCACGCGCTCTGGTCCACACCGGCTTCTCTCTGGGATCTACTCGCATAATTTTCCAGAATTCTCTCCTCTGTTGTGGTGTGGCTTCCAGTAGAGTCCTGTCTTTTTCTTCATAGTGTAAACTTATCCTTAATCTCTCATATTTTGGTAGAGTGCCAAGAAGTATTTTGTTCCAGTTTTTAAGATAACCAATATCTTTGAAGAAAGTAAGCCTTTGTAAGTCACACTGTGAAGAGTGGTTGGCATTTTCAATTGAGAGGGGGTGATGGAAGTCTAAGGACTTCAGTTGTTTATTTCCAGCTTTGACTTCCTACTCCACCATTAGAGACGTGGCGGGAACTTATGGCATGCAGCCGGCTCTTTATATCATCAGTGCTCTAAAGGGTTCTCATCCCTGCTGTGGAGGATAGGATTTCTCTAGTACCTAGGCCTCCTGCAGATGTTAGGACAGTCTCCAGCTTGCACCTTATTTGCTCCTGTTGTGTTAAGACCCAGCTCAGTTTTGATCTGTTGCTACTCTTCCATCCAGTATGCACAGTTAAAGATTTTTGTTGGCGTCTCTCCCATCAGATGTCTTTGTATTCTCTTTACCTGTGGGCTTCTTAACTCTCCCTTTACTGTCATCATTTTAGTAAGGTTTCAGAAGTCTGCTAAGCCTGGTGGTCAGATTTGACATGAACGAGGCCTTGCAGATCATTTGACAGCGACCTGCAGCCTTTTCTGTGTGGAGTTCCACATCTTTTCTAATGTGAACTTCACCCTCTGTGTCAGCGTGGGCCAACACCATGAGGGAGGCATTGAGGAGACTGTCTGAGGGCCATTAGACCTGAAGATTTTTGTTAAAACTGCCATAACTGTATCTGAGCTGCAGCATCTTTCAGCTAACTGACAAGGTAAAACTCAGCCTTTTACGGGATGAAGTTCCAGGTTTTGCAGGGATGTGTCGTCCCATAATCGCCACAGTCAGGGCAGAGAGCACCTGTGCCTCGCCTCTGTAGTTGGTCTGCCCCTTCATTCCAGACCTTGGCAGCCACCCGTGTTTTCTATCCCTAGAGCTTCAACCTAACTTTTCATAGAAACCCCTGTTTTTATAACAATTACTTCATAAGTTTTTATAATTAATGACAGAAAGAAAACAGCATAATTAGCAGTGTGTTCAGCTTAAAGAGCTGTTGATGTTTGGTGATCATTACAGTTGATGTTGGGTGATTGTGTAAGTCAGCTGATGAGACCACAAAGAGCCTGATTCTTCTCTAACTGAAGAGTCTGAACTCCTCAGTGTCTTTCTGTGTAGCACAGCCTCGGCGCCAGGAGGACGAGCAAGGGCTGGCATGGAGCTCAGTGAGGGTTCAATCTCTACACTCAAGTCCAAATTCATAAATATTTTTCTGTCTTTTTTTTATTTATTTATTTTTTTGTACTGGGTATTGAACTCAGGACTTTGCGCTTGCCAGGCTACATCCCTGGTCCCTGATAAATATTTTTCATTACCAATTTTTTAGTTTAAAATTTGGTAAGAACAGTAGCTATGATTCAGTTAACCTGATTATTCAGTTCTTTCCTAGACTTATTTAATTTAAAATTTTAAATGCTATTTTTAAAAAGCAGTTTTGGGTTTACAGAGAGTACAGGCTCCCCTTATGCCCCTGCCCTACCTCACTTTAATTGGCATTTTAAGAAATATGTCTTTTTTTACCTTCAAATAGAGACAGAGGCCGCAGGAGCAGATCACGCTTGAGAAGAAGGTCTCGATCACGCGGGGGTCGCAGGCGAAGGAGCAGAAGCAAAGTAAAGGAAGACAAATTCAAAGGAAGTCTTTCGGAAGGAATGAAAGTTGAGCAAGAGTCTTCATCTGATGATAAGTAAGAATGGAACTTTCCCATAATTTAATTTCTCTAGCTTACAGAAACTGTGATTGACTAGGAATCTTAAAATGCTTTCCACCAGAATATGAAAAGTGAATCTAGTCCTTTAGTCTTGAATTCAAGAGTTACTCTTGTGTGATTACCAGGTAGGTTTGTGGCAAGAGATAGTGGTTTTCTGGGTTTAAAGGTCCCCTTCAGCTGGAGTGCATACTGTGCATACTGTGCTGTGGTTTTATTAGGAGCCTTTCATTTTTATTTGCAAAAATGGATACATTAATTAGTCCTGTCAGTCTGAGTTGCCCATTTAGGGAAATGAATTTTTATACAAAGTGTCACCTTTTCAATTCACGTCCCATGGGGCATGCTTTATACTTGAGGCTAGCTGGTGGCAAGTGTGATTATTATAATGGGAAAATATAGGAACATTTCAGTGCCTAATAAAATATTAGAAAAAGTTTTAAATTACGTACTTGGTTGTCTAATTAGACTATCACAAAAATAAACAGTTTAGTGTTGTAGTTGTCAACTTGGGAATACTTGGTTCCCTGGGGATGTTTGGCATTGTGTTAAAGACATACTTGGTTGTCTTTTAGTAGCAGAAGGCTACAAGTAATTGTTTCCTGCAGTGCACAAGCTAACACCCTCCTCAAATATCTGTACCAAAAAACCAGTAGTGCTGTGGCTAAGAAACCCCGACTAAAGCTTGGTGACTAAGAAAGCGAGTGAAGTGTTCAGTAGAGATGCTGGTTTAGTCAGTGCTGTCAGCTTACATTTCTGCTGTGAACAGTCTGGATTGCACTGAGAGGGGTCATAGAACTGAGGGAGGAGATTTATTTAGGGGGTGCATGGGACAGGGCTGGGGCAGTATTTGGGTTGAACCACATCCCCCATGGGTTACATGCGAGTGCTTGCATGCGCATTGCCTATACAGAAGGAACCAGTAGTTCTCATGAGTTTACCAAAGGTTCTGTGACCAGGAAAAGTAACAGCTTATTTACCTGTGTCAGCCCTCACTTTATAGGTGGGAAAACTGAGGTCAGAGAAGTGAAACAGTACCATGAAGGTTACAAAGAGCCAGGGATGACTTCGTTTTTTAACTTAGGGAACTTTTTTGTTACCAGTTTATGTGCCATGAAAATCTGTGAAGAGGAAATTGAGACAGAGGGGTAAATTACTTACCAGGCTTCCAAAGAAGGTGATTGAGACCATTTAGAAATGAGTATTGCAGCGCAAGACTTTTGCTTTGTCTGAATTTCGACCTGCATTTCTCAGCGTTTCTTTACTTTTTAAAATGTAACAGTTACAGTTTTAGAATCTCTAAGGATGTTTGAAATTTTGTTTTAAAGCCTCGAAGATTTTGATGTAGAGGAAGAGGATGAAGAAGCACTAATAGAACAGAGAAGAATACAGAGGCAAGCAATTGTTCAGGTGTGTGGTTTTTTACAAAAACTTTTTAATGCATTCTCTAATCACTAGTAGTGATATCTCAGCAGGTCTTTAGGAAAGGAGCATGTATATAAAATTCATGAGATTTGATAGTTTCATTAGTTATCACAACAGAGATAGTATCCTTTGTTTCATTTAATAAACTTTGGTGAAAACTTGTAAATTGTAAGAATTGAAGTTGGGCTTTCAATGAACACGAAAATTCTCATCTGTGTAAAGTTGAAAATTTTCACGTGCCAAAAATTGTGTTTTACTATGTGGAAAAAAGCAAACATTGCAATGAAACATTGGAAAAACAATATTGAGACTAGAACTAGGTGATGAAGAAAATGATGAGCAGGGCTGGTATCATACTCAGATCTCAGTAAAGTTACTTCACTTGTGGTTTGCTGCCTTGGAAGATGGTCATCTCCTCCTTGGCTGTCCCAAAAGGAAACAAAACCATAGTGGGCCACTAGATCCCTGTGGGTGGCAGCTCACCTGCGTATACCCAAAGCAGGTCCCTGGGATGTAGAGTAAAGGAAGGAAATGACTTGAATCACAAGAGAAGCAGGGCCAAATTAGGAAGTGTTTCAGGGACATGGGTGAAGTTATTATTAAACTGGAACCCCTGAAAACTTGGTTGAATCTTTTTTTGTTCTTGCCCAGGTCCACAATCCCTTATCTCCAATCCTTGGGGCCAGATGTGCTTCAGAACTCAGAAAGTTTTGAATTTTAGAAAGGTAATATGGTGCATCTATGTATATCATGTAGTGCCATCAGTGGGGTCCAAAGCAGACCCCATACTCAGCACATCATCAACCCCATAATCAGCACATTCTACAGGGAGACGTACACGTCGTCACCCTGGGTGTATGACAGTGAGCAGCATCTCATCTGGTCAGCTATAAGTTTGCTGCCTGATTAGTATGCACCAAACAGAAAGACTCGTTCAAGGATTCTCTGAGGTTGGGGAGTATGTAAGGGATTCTGGATCTGATTCAACCAAGAGATCAGTACCTTTTTGTCATTGTTTCACAGTGAGACTCTTAACTTTTTAATCAACAACTATTAGTAAATTAATGTATTCAGATAGCGTAAGATTTTATGAAAATGATCTGTTGTGTTGTTGTTACAGAAATATAAGTACCTGGCTGAAGACAGCAATATGTCTGTGCCGTCGGAACCCAGCAGCCCCCAGAGCAGCACTCGAACACGGTCGCCCTCTCCGGATGACATCCTAGAGCGGGTGGCCGCCGACGTTAAAGAGTACGAACGGGAAAACGTTGACACATTTGAGGCCTCAGTAAAAGCCAAGCATAATCTCATGACAGTTGAACAGAATAATGGTGCGTGAGGTAGATTTTTGTTCTGGCCACACTTTTCCCTGAATTTTTAGCTGTGTGACTATAATGCGAGACCTTATTTGAGGTGAGATTTGGGATAGGGAAAAAGGAGATGGGAAGAGGAATGTTGCTTCTGCTAAATATTACAGTAACATTAAGTGTGTCATTCTGCATGTTGTGTATAATGTGGTTTTACCGGTCACATAACTGAACTCCCGTGTTTTCATTACTTTATGTTCTGCATGTTGGAGTATTTTAAAGCAAATCCCAGCCATGATTCCATTCAACCTGTAAATATTTGTTTTATCATCAGTATCTATTTCCAGTTGGTTCAAATCAAAATCCAAGCAAGATTTATATATACCTTTAGTATATATGAGGTGCGATTAAAAAATACAGTGTGTCACTAAATAAAAAAATATTACAGGAAAGAGACACTGCCATAATCCCTCTCACTGGGAACACATTAGCCCATCGTTCTTGCCACTCATGAAGAAGCTGGGGAAGCTTTGTGGTATTTTTGTGACTGGGGCGGGAAGGGCTGGAAGTGAACAGTGCCAGATCTGGAGAATCGGGGGGAGGAGGGTGCACCACACTGTTCCCAGCCTGCCTTTCTACTGGGTGGTACTCGGCGGCAGCATTCACTGTTTCTCGTCACACTTCGTAGAAACACAAAGACTTCGAGAATCGCTTCAGAAAGTGGAAAGAACTATGGGATACATGTGTTTGAAGGTAGCAGGGAGCATTTTGAGAGGGAGTAATACCACTGTGTCTTTCTAATTTAAACATGCACTGTATTTCTCATCCACCTGTTTTGTATCATTTAAGCCTCTTCATCTTGATACTGTATTTCTTTTGTGTTTTCCCCTCTTGCTACTTACAAGGATAATGAGCAGTGGGTCCAATAAAATTCTCTGCTCTGCATTTTGACTGGCCAGATTCTCATGTTTAATTTGTTTCCTCAGTTTCCAGTATTTCTTGAAAACTAGGAGTTAGTGTTGGAGGCAAATAAATTTAGGTTTTGGCATGAATACTTCCTAAGTGTTGCTGTGCACTTGGATCACAGCAAGTGGTGTGTGTGTGTGTGTGTCCTGTTTTTATTCACACTGAGGTTGGAATGGACCACATCTGTCCTGTGTAGTTTTCCACTAGCTATTTATCTAATGATTTTAACAGCTCTTGATGACCATTACTGTACTGGGGATTCTATTATTTTGAAATAATTTTTTTTCTATCATTCTTAAAGTCGTTTTAATTTTTCTATGAAATGAGTTTCCACTTGTTGTATCTATAGTGTAATGTACTTTATACAGGGAAGGCAGAATAACTATGTGATTATTTTCCTTCACTTGACCCCTTTTTAGAATAAAATACAGTTAGTACCCAAAAAATCTTCATAGCACTAATGAGATACTGATTTTTTTATGGGTTTTTATTGTTTAGTACCATTATGTTTCAGTCCGTTGCTGTTGCATTTCTTTTGGTAGCACAAATTATTTTCTCTTCAACCATTGAAGAGTTGAACAGAGTCCACACCAGGGTGTGAAGGGAGGAGCCCTTTTAAGTAGGTTTCCAATGTCCATTTGAACCAACTCCTTGAATATTTAAAACCGCTCTTTCGCTAGCACTCTTTATATGAAGGGTTAGGCAGTAGTTTGTCACAAAGCACCATTCTTCCCCTACGTACACACTTAAAAATATGAAACAGGCCATATAGAAAATACGTAGTGCTGGCAGGCACCCTGGGGTGCACTGTAATGCAGATAATTCGGGAGGCTAAGACAGGAGGTGGAGAGTTCAGGGCTCACCTGAGCACTTCAGCAAGACTGTCTCAAAATAAAATTTGAGAAGGACCAGGGATGGAGCCCAGTGGTCGAGAGCTTGCCTGCCTTGAGTGAGACCTGGGCTCAATCCCAAGGGCTGCAGGAAAAAAAAAAAAACCCCAGCCCATATAGTAACTTCTTTGATATTATATTTTTCTTTTCTCTTAGAATGAAAAACATAGTTCTATTAACACAATTGCGGATGTCTTACTATATTCAAAGTTCTACACACACATTATCATTATTAAATAAGTGTACTGAGTGCAGCTTGAAATTTCAGTGGTTCTTTCTGGCCTCAGGATACATCTTTAGGTGCAATGTATATTCATAATTCTGTTTTAAAATCATTTAATTCTTTATATGGTAATACCACCTGTTTGGTAGGTTTAGTATTTTAGTTTTTTCCCGTTTGCTTTTGATTTTTAAGTAGTATCTTTTAAATTATTAAGACATTTTTGTGTGTGTTTTAAACACATCTGTATAAGTATGATCTTCCTCATTTGCTCCTAAAACGTGTGCCATCCAGAGTCTTAACAGTGGATATTTAGATTTTGTTCAGTTGTTGGCTGTATGTGGAACATTAATTTAAAACCCAGTGTCGTTTTTAATGTGTGGCCTCTGTGTTTTGGGCACTGTACTCTCCCCTAAGGGCGATTGTTGGATCAGAACATTGAAGGCTTATGTACTTTGGCTATACATTGTCAAATTTTTCTCTTAAAAGAGCTATATAATTTTGCCATTCCATAAACAATGTCTTAGGCGTATTTATCCAGAACCTTATTAACAAGATACTGTAATACTTTTGGATTTTTAGCCAGGATTATAAGTGAGAAATAGTGTCTTGCAGTTTCAATTTAAAATCCTCTGCTGTAATTGAGATTGAGATATGTATATATGCTTAAAGCATTTGTGGAGTTTGTAGTTTTTTTGCCCAGTTTTCTGTGGCATTATTTAGACTTTTTAGAGGAAAAATATATACAGATCAATATCAATCTTGGTCGATAGTGGAGAGTTTAAGGTGCAAATTAAAAATAGGCCTCTTTAAAGTCTTAATTTATTAGCTTACACATTTAAACAGTGGCGGAAGTTGATATTAAGTCTTTCTGGAATGCAACTTTTTAGTAAAATGGATAGTTTTCTATATATTAAGTAGAATGAAGTGATTATAAATTATTAATTGAAAACTAATATGCAGGAAGGAAGAAAATGCTTGAATTATTGTGACTTTCCATTGACTTTTGCTTTGTGTGTTCAAATACTAACACTCATTTCCTTTCAGGTTCTCAGAAGAAACTGTTGGCTCCTGATATGTTTACAGAATCTGATGATATGTTTGCTGCGTATTTTGATGTAAGTACTTTTAAATTAACTGATGAAAAGGAAAAAATATAATAACAAATACAGGTAAGGATAAAAGCTCGTGTAAAAGACATTAACTTGGTTTGTTTGTTTGTTTTTGATATTAGCATTTGGACAGTCTGGGTCAAGGATGTCTGGAAAACATGCTAGTTTTGCACCTTTTCTCTTAAGTCTGAAATTAGGTCAAAAATCTTAAAACAAGTAGTGCAAATGGGCTTGAGGGTGGAGCTCAGCACTACAGTGCTTTCTCGGCATGTGCCAGGCAGGCCTGGAGTTTGATTTGCTGTAGCATGAAAAAAAATATGCACACACATGAATTGCAGAGCAGTTTAGAGCTTCATGCAGGTTGCACCCTGAGTGACTTAAATGTGTACTGTAGCGGGTATATACATACGTGTCAGTAGATGCATGTGGTAATTAAGATAAAGCAGGATCTGTATTTGCAGACCTTTAGAACAGAGTCCACTTTAAGCTTCTTTGTTGTAGGTAATTGATTGGGACCTAATAGTGTACTCACTGAAGAGTTGAAAATGTTACGAAAAAGTGGGCTGAGAAATTTATCAGTGCCTTTTGTTTGAAAAGTCTTTTAATACATTCAAAAGTGAGGCCATTTTTAACATGAATTGAAAAGGCCATAAGACATGGGGCCTTGAGAAGGGAAAACAGTGGAAAATAAAAATGGGGCAGAATAAATGGTCTCCCAGTCCTTGAGGACATTGGAAATTGGCCCAATTAGGTTATGGTATGTTATGCAGACTGCAGCAGAAGCAGCAAAACATGGATGAGTTAAGAGGAAGAAGTGAGTATTGAAACAGTTGTTTCGTCCACACCCATCATTTCCCCAGGTATTTGTGTTACTCGGCTTTCTGTCAGAGACAGTGAACTGATAATGAGCAGAGGTTCTTTGTGGCTCACAGTCACAGTCTGACTGGTTGGGCCCCTTCCTCTGGGCCTGTAGTGAGGCAGAAGTGTGTGACAAAGCCAGGCTTCTTCCACGATCAGGAAAGGGTAGAAAACGTAAAGAGGCCTGCAGTCCTCTTGATGTGCACATTTCTAGTGACCTGAAGACTTCTCAGCAGGCCCGTTACACAGTTCCTGTCATCCTCCGGTAGTGCCTCTGTGGAGACCAAGCTGTATTTAACACAGAGACCTTTGGAGGACATTTACCATCCAAGCTACAGCAGTGCGGAAGGATTTGAGGATGTCGTGGACTGTGACCTGCAGAATTTTTGCCAGGTCCTAGGTGATGCTTTTTAGCTTCCCTCACAAGCACCACTAGTGTAGCCAGTGAATGTCTTATTTCTATGCATGTACGAAATGTCTGTGTGGCCAGGACAGTACAGGAAATGGTGAGGGCCAGGGATGTAGCTCTGTGGTGCTGCGCCTGTCTAGCAAGTACAAAGTCCCGAGTTCAATCCCTGGTACTGGAAAAAAAAATTAAAAATAAAAAAGTTGTGACAATTGGTAAGTGAGAGAGGAACACTAAGGTTATTACCTCATTACCAGTCTAGTTTTGTTCTAGTCTCTCTCGTCAGCTAAAGAAAACTAGATCTCATTCTGACTTTTTATTTTCTTTTTTGTTTGTTTTGTTTTGTTTTGTTTTGTTTTTGGTACCGGGGTTTGAACTCGGGTCCTTGTGCTTGCAAGGCAGGCCAATGAACCACTGAGCTAAATCCCCGGCCCTTGACTTTTTAGTTTCATTTATAATATCCTAGTCATAATCATAAAAGGTTTTGAAGATACTTGGGTTCTTTTTTCCCAAGTGTTACTACAATGTAGGAAACTGGTAATTAACCATGTTGCATTTATGTAATTGATAGTAATTGTTTAATTTGGAATAAAATATTTTGTTGCCCTTTTTTGTTATAAAGGTAGCTCTTTAAAGGTGTGATTGGTGGTCAAGCAACTCAAGTTGTCTCCTTAATTTCAGAGTGCTCGTCTGCGGGCTGCTGGCATTGGAAAAGATTTCAAAGAGAATCCCAATCTCCGAGATAACTGGACTGATGCAGAAGGCTATTATCGTAAGTTCACATTCCTGACTAACTTTAGAGCCCAATGTAACACTTTGTAAAGATCACATCGTGGGGTTCAGATGTGTGTTGTTGGAGATCTCGGAAAACTCATCACAGTTTTGTGACCTAAGGAGTGTGTGGCCCATCTGGCTGAGACAGGAGCCTACTTTGTATTCACAGATCAAGGGGAGGAGGAGACTCAGTTACAGCCCGAGGCTGCTCAAAGTTACTTCCGGGCCTGAGAGAACTCCCCAAAAGGGAATGTAAATGTTACTTGTTCATCTCAGTGTATATCCAAGACAGATCCCAGGGACCAAGTGACAGGCAGGATGCACTTTGGGGAGAGGGAGCCGGTTCTTCCCGGCTCAGCGGGAAAGTCATTGGCGGTTGATCAGACACCAGGAACTACTTGTAGTCACCTGAAGCGGGCATGCAGCTCTCACTCCTTTCTGAAACAGTGACCTTTGGGCCATGGCTGCAGTCCTCCATTCTAGAGATCTGACACCATATTTAAGTAGCTTCACTGATTCCTGTTTGCTGATTCTGTTCATTGGTGGGATTTCTGACTTTTATTGGTTGTTCTAGGTGTGAACATAGGTGAAGTCCTAGATAAGCGTTACAATGTGTATGGCTACACTGGGCAAGGGGTCTTCAGCAATGTTGTGCGAGCCAGAGATAACGCACGAGCCAACCAAGAAGTGGCTGTGAAGATCATCAGGAACAATGAGCTCATGTAAGTTCAGAGAACAGAGGAGATGGAACCTTCCTAACACAAATACTGACATCAACATTTTTTAAAAAGGTGTAAAACAAGTGTTGCATTTATAAAGTGATAGAAGTAGTTTGCTGGGTTTTTAATTTGAAGATGTGTTGTACATAAAGTATAGGAACCATGGGCTGACTCTGTTTAGTTCCTAGTACACAAGTGTGAACTTAGACATCTACCTTCTACTGTCAATTTTATGCCATCTTTTGCTGTAATGTCTTAAGACCAGAGGTGAGAAATGGAAAAATCATGACATATGGTGGCCTGTAGAAAATAAGAACTCATTTATTAACTACTCGTGGGAGTTGTGTATCTTACCTCTTCTTTAATAGAATAAACAGTTGCTCTACCTGGGTGCTAACACATTGTATATGCCTCATACAGAGCTGGTGCTGATGTCAGCTTACTGGTTTTGAATGCTCGAGCAAGTGCTGTAAATTTTTACTGAAGTATATACTGGCTAGGCTTAGAAAGTTTGAGAAATTTCTTCTATAGACACTCAATTTACAGTGCAGCTTGTTAACAGACGCTAGCCAGATAGTGTAATAAGATAACCAAATGTTAAAACTTAGTAACACATATCCAGTAGTAAGTATACCCTTAACGGAAGTAGAAGACTGGTTTTGTGATGTGATTCCATTCTTGTTAAAAATCAGTGTATCAAGACCTTTTGAGATAAAATGTGCAAGAGTGATTTCCCTCAAAGCAGAGTTGGTTTGTTGCTCAGTGTTTGTGTATTCATTGGTTATTGTGGAAATGAATTCTGTCATGGAAATACGTGGCAGAGAATAAACTGCCATAGATTTACTACTCAGGCTCATTCGTGTTTAAAGTACATACTAAGATCCATCAGATTAGTAGGTCTAACAGACCCTGCTCTCTGAAATGCTGTGAATGTTCCACTTAGACCTAATTTTCTTTCCTTGCAGGCAAAAGACTGGTTTAAAAGAACTGGAGTTCTTGAAAAAACTTAACGATGCTGATCCTGATGACAAATTTCATTGTCTGCGCCTCTTCAGACACTTTTATCACAAGCAACATCTCTGTCTCGTGTTTGAGCCTCTCAGGTACAGTGTCAGAGCCTGTACCTTAAACTGAAAGTGTAGCTGCTACGTCTCTGCCAACCTCATTTTGGATAAATGCTGTGGCAAATTATCTGGGTATTTGAGTTTTTTCAGTCGACTCTTAGTTTTTGTTTTATAACTTAATTTTGGGTCATGAGTTAGCTTTCTGACAATTTATCAGCGTTGGGGAGGGAATTCATAAGCAATATTTCGTTGTAAATTGAATTTTGCACTTCATTTTATTCCTGTGTGAATTTATTTTTTTTTTTTTGCCTTTTATAAAATTTCATTTTGTCTTTTAAGCCCCATTTTGTTTTTCTTTTTTTTGTTTCTCTCCTAAAAGTATGAATTTACGAGAGGTATTAAAAAAGTATGGTAAAGACGTTGGTCTTCATATTAAAGCTGTAAGATCGTACAGTCAGCAGCTATTCCTGGCATTGAAACTCCTGAAAAGATGCAACATCCTGCACGCAGATATCAAGCCGGACAATATCCTGGTAAGCAGCAGCTCGGTCACCTGCGCTCCCCGTCTTCTCTTCCTGGCAATATGCTTATTACTGTAGTGGTTCAGAAATGACATTGTAGAAGCAGACCTTACAATTTTTGTTTTGTTGTTGTTGTTTTCCATGTTTTTTTTTTTTTTTTTTTTTTTTTTTTTTTT